CACACACACACACACACACACACTACTGTAAGCCAGGGAAGTGATGGTGGTGAGCGCAGGGCGGAGGCAGGGACGTCGTGGCGCAGACCAGGCGGACTCTCCCCTCAGCCCTCCTCAGCTCTCCTCAACTGGTCATCTGCGGGGTCTCCCGCCCCTCGTGCACAGACAGCAGTCACGCCGCAGGGGCCAGAGGGCCTACACTCAATCTTCCCGACACGCGTTTGGGGCAGCTGCGGGTCCCGAGACGTCACGGAGGGTGCAGACGCCCAGACGCTCTCTCCCAGGCCCAGTGCTACTGCAAAACACACTCCCGGGGACCCTCAGCTCCAGGAACCACTACCCACAGACACTTGGTCTCTGCCCGCCAGTGTGGCAATTCTTCAATTCAGTACCACCTCCCGCCTCACCCTCCAGTCCCAGGAGAGCTCCGCCCCTCCCTGCTTCACTCAGATTAACAGCTGCTATTCTGGAGTGTGCGGCCCTTTTCCTTTGAGGGATGACTTATCCCCCCAAGGAATTTGGTATAACCAGGTTCCAAGGAATGATAAACTTTCCGAGACTGAAAGGACGCTTAAAGTTGAGTTCTGGAGATTATGCCAATGCTCAATATTAAAGCGGCCCAGAGCAAACTTGCCGAGGAGCCTAATAAAAATTGATCCTCTCTGCTCTGCGACAGTTGGGAAATAGGCTGGCTGAGCCGGGTAATAGTGGAAGAAGGCTTCCTCCGAAATGACAGATGAAGTCATAAACAAGTTTGATCTTGGAATCAAGCTTCGATAAATATTAAACACAGTCTGCCCCCCTCCCCTTACGCTGAGTGGATTATGATATATGGCGCGTCCAAACTTTAAAATAAGGAAATACCAGAGAAAATGATCTCAATAAATTTTCTAAGTATAAACGTTGATTATGTTTCGATTTTCATTCAAGGGCTTCTGCTGTTCGTTCTTTGGTGCAAATGACATCTCGCAATAGGCTTTTGGGGAAAAGGGCTCCCTATTTGAAAAACAGAGCCCCAGAGGTGTACAATTTATGTAATCTGCGGTTGGAAAATGAATTGTGTAATTTATTGAAAAACAGAAAGTCATCAAGATTGGATCAGCATAGCCAAGTCCCGACACCCCCCACCCACATCCATCAAGTTCCAATTAACAGCCTAACCAGAGAGCTTTAATGGGTTTCCAATCTAGTGGCCTGATAGACTCATCAATTCCTCTGGGAGAAATTAAGAAAATCGACCGCCCCTTGGCGACGCAGTGTCATTCCTTTCTGCAACTATATGTCAAATTAAAAACACAATTAAAATTTAAACTGTTTCAATCAAAGGGTGCCCTGCAACCTATGTTTCACTTAATAGAACTTTGATGAAAATCTGATGCGTGCACTCCATCACCAAGGGGGACGAAGGCAGTGAAGGAACTCAGGAGAGAAGGGGATTCTTTCTATTTCTTTAAGACATTAGCGCCCGGGGGAGGCACACCAGGTGACTTCACCTCGCTGCCCCTAAGTGCTCCTCGGCGTTTGCTCGCTCGCTCTACACCTCTCCGCCTACCGCAACTAGAAGGGATCCTTTGGGAACCCCGAAGACCAGATTTTGATCAGTTTTGCTCCATAGACCCATCGCCTGGAGCAGCAGCCAGGGAAGGGACCGGAGCGAGTACAACCAGCATGCGCCGTTTGGGAACCCTCAGAGGAGGCTCGCATCCTCCAGCTATCCCTTGCCTCCTGTCTCCGAACCCTCCCATATACGCCAGTGAAGTTCTACTGGATCCTGGAGGCAGAGGGTGGGAAGAAATCCTAGACGGTTAAATCCGGGGACCCCAGTGAGAGCTAGGGCTGCGCCGTAGTCTGAGACCCGATTCCCCAAAAGCTGCTACTCCCCACCCTATAAACCGTCGGGGTACTCCTTCGGAAGAGTATGACTGGGGACAAGTGCAGCCCAAATCTCAACTCTAGATTTCAAGCCCGGGGCACCAGGCAGGGCTCCGAGTACTGCAGGTCTAGTTACTTTCGCGGCCCTTTCCTCTCTTGCCACAACCGTACCCCCTCAACTGTTTTTAGGTCAAAGGGTCAACATCCACCCTGCACACCCAGATGGGTGCATGTGCACACTTCCAGATGCTTACGCCCACCGCAAGGATTGCTCGCACACAAAAGCCGGGGAAGGCCAGCAGGCAGGGCTAGCGAAGGGCAGAGAGTGGGCGGGAAGTGTGGGATTGCGGGGAGGAGCCTCGCGGATTGCCTCTGCTGGGCCAAGTGTAAATGCCAGGCTCAGCGTAGTCCCCTGGGCCCGCCCGGCTGCGTTTTGGACCCCAAGCGGGGATTTCCATGGAGCTCTTGGTTCTTGTATCCTGGCCTCCTCGCTGTGACTCAGTAGAGAGATCTTTTCCTGGGTGCTTTACGGAGTTGGATTGATAAGGAGAAAAGGCCCCCTGGCTGGGTCACTGGGCAAGGGCGTGGACAATTGTGAGAGGTGGGGGCAAGATGCAGTCTTGGAGGAGGGCCGTGCCCACCAAAGTCTGCACCCTTCAGGGCCCCCAGAGGGAAATTCAGGTGCCCGGCGCGCACTTAGGGGGCGAAGCAGGAGCACGTGGCCAGGGACGGGCAGCTCAACAGCACCAACAGCACCGAGCTCGGCAAAGGCAAAGCTTTTGCAGGCGGAAGGCTGCGCAGCCCTCTGTGCTCCCATTGCTCGGACCCCCACCCTCCCATCGCCCAGGTCCGAGCTGGCCCAGAGTCCCGTCACTGAGAAAGCAGATCCCACCAACCTTCTTGCCTCTTTCTCTTTTGCCCAGTTCTACCCTCCAGCGCGCTCCGGGAGCAAGGAGAGGAGAGCGCTCTGTCTTCGCGGTGTGGCCTGCGCCTCTGGAGTCCCCTAGCCTGCCAAGGGGACGTCCTGGCTCAGAACGAGTGCCCAGTGGTGCGTGGGCGGGGGGGGGGGGTGCAGTTTATATCTGTCCTGGTATTGTTTGATGTACACATACCCGCTCTATTTACTACCAAATAAAAGAAATACATCTGTGTTGCCAACAGAAATAGCTCGCGCGCAGGCCTCACCATCTCCCGGGGCCTGGAGGCAATCACGGGAGCTCAGAGTAGCAGAGTTCGGCACTGTGGGGACCCCAGATACGAGTGAGGTCCCCGTCTATAGGAGTATGGGGGTCCGCGGAGGGGTGTTGGCGGGCTCCGTTAGTTTATCCCTGATGACTTGAGAGAAGGGAGCCGGATGCATCCCCCTGCAGGAAGGATTTCTGGCTTAGCACAGCAGGAGGCAGGAGCGCCACCTCCCTCCCTGGCCAATTCTTTCCACAGGATTCCCCTCAGCTTTCCTTAGCTTGAGCTCTTAGAGAAAGCCAGTTGCCCAGGGTCACCTCCTGAACAAGGTGTGCCTGACTGGGTGTGTGTGTCAGCCATTGCTGTGGTGTGTGTGTGTGTGTGTGTGTTGCGGGGGTGGGGGGGGCATACTGGGAGCGCATGGACACCATGTCTGTTAGGAGGTCTAACAAAACTGTGTGTGCGTGTGTGTGTGCGTATCACTTGTAAGTGTACTCTATGTGTTGTTTCTGTATGTGTCTGGGTGAAGCAGAAAGGATTTAAATGCGAAGGCAGTGTCATCTTGCACTGACTTGAGTATTAATTGGGGGTGCAGATAGGAAAGGATCTGAAGTCAGATAAGAGGGAGAGAAGGCCGAGTTCCAGATCTGAAGAAAGGGAGAGTAAAAGGATCAAGTTATTGGGGGTTTTGGTCCAGTATTCTAGGATGGGGGAGCCGGCTGCCTTGGCTCCCCACAGTGGAATGTCCCGGAGGAGAGGCTCGGTCACCCTTACTCCCACGGTGGCACCCTCTGGTGAGTGGTTCCTGCGGTTCCTGGCAATCCTTGCAGAGGCAGCAGGACGAGGGTGACCTCTGTGGGGGAAGAGGACCCATCCAGCTCTCAGGATGTGACAGTCCCACCAAGAGTTTTCTCAGCCTTTCCTAACACAAAGGCCTCCGAAAGACCTGCAGTCCAGTCCACCATGGAGTCTGCACAGAGCAATGTTCCTGGACCCTGCACTCTGGCTCAAGTCCTGCATTGTGAGAAATATCACAACCCTGACCCCACAGGAGGAAAGCAGCCGTTTGCGCCTGGGCCAGCTTCCAGGCTCATACAGCCACCAGTCCCAGGCAGGACTGGTATCACCCTCCTCCCCCAGGGAGCTCACCGTGCCTCTTGGAAGGGACAGCAGCCAGCCCAGGGCAGTGGGGCTCCCCAGTAGGAGGGAAAAGGAGGCCTCAGGGAGCAGGACAAAAGATAAAGTGTGTGTATGGAGAACCAGTTATTTCTTGACTTTGTAAAGACCGGGTCAGTCAAGAACCATTTTCTAGAATCCAAACACAAATAAAGAAGTATTTTCTTGGAGTTTGATAACATCGTGTTCTGGCTGTAAAATCGAAGGATTTGTTTGCTATTGCAACATTATTTTTAATGAGCTGTTACTGGCCTATCCCGCAGTTGGTATTGCCAACAGTAAAAAGCATCACTGTGTTTGCAGGTAACACAAGGAACAACATATTTTGACCCTGAATTTCTGTTTATTTTTCATTTAGGACACATGCCCTCGTTTTTATTTCAAACCAGAGAGAAGTAAAGGGAGATCTATCTTCACTGAGATCCACACTGAAACTTTGACATAAATATACATGCCTGCTGATTTGGGGACAGTTTCCCATGAATAGAAAACGGTACTGGACGCTTCAGCCATAGTAGAATCAATTGTGTTGCTTGGGTGTGAAGAACCCAGTAAAGTACTGGAAAAGAGAATGGGGACGTGAGCAGTCGCTGCTAACAGATGCACCCAGTGGGGCGATCTTAGGAATCCTCGTCTCCCCCTTCCGGCTCCTAGGCTTCAGGCATGCCCTGCCAGGTGCTGGGTGTACAGACCCATGTTCCAAGGCAGGCAGCAGTGTCGGGTTAGCAAGGGGCGTCCAAGCACCTGCCTTCCACCGGGTGGACCCGAGCTTCCAAGCCTCACGGGGCGTGCTGCGCCTCGGCAGGCCGCCCACCGAGAGAGCAAAGGCCAGGCGCCCAGCAGGCGCATGGGAACAGTTAGCGCTGTGCTTCCGTGTGAGCCGGGACAGGGACAGGGGACCCACAGAGGCCACCCTGGAGGTATTGGGCGCCGATGGACAAAAAAGAACGCGGCCAGGAGGAGACAGATCCTTTCCGTAGCGTCTGCCGCAGTCGGAGGTCTGTGTTCCCGGCACTTGACATACCAGGACCCCGCCCACACACGAGCTGCCTCAGGAACCACAGTTCCTCCAGACCCGCGGAGGCCTCACTGTCCCGGAGCTGGGAGCCGCCGTCCCTTGGACTGGTTGGCCTCCCTGAGGCTGCCCTTTTCGTCCTGGCCTCTCCCAGCTGGACTTCGCGATTGGCCTCTGGCCGCAGCTCAACTGTAAGTCCACTCCTTTCCTCCCCCAACCCCGGAAGCAACTGGAGCCCACCGTGCTGCCCGCCCGCGGATGAGTTCCAGGCATGTCTTGCCCAGAAGCGCGCGGCTCCTGCAGTACCTGTGATCTGGGAACCAAATGCCCCAAATGCCAGGCTGCAGCCCTGCGTTCGGAAACACCCGCGTGTCTGAGCTCGCGGTGCAGCTGCGCTCAGTTTTGCAAACTAGATAAGCCTTGGTTCTCGCCCTTCCGCCCCACATTATTCCCTGCTCGCAGGGCGTTTCTAGCGGCCTAAGGTACTGAGGATAGAGCGGCTCTGGTCGCGAACAAAGCCATCTCTGTCTTCGCCGCTTCCTGGGTTATAAGGATGTGCGTCCAGGTTGGACTCGGCAAGCGCGGAGGCAGACAGAGGACAAGACAGACAAGAGTTTCGGAGACACCTGCTCTGGGAAAATCATCCGAAGTTACACACTGTAGCGACACGAAATGCTTCGCTCTTTCTTTTTAATTAATTCAATTTCACGACAACATTTAGTGTAACAATTTTTTGTGGGTTTTTTTTCTCTTTTTCTTAAAAAGGGACTGAACCCGGGCAGAGGTGAGGAAGATAGGGGAGGGGAGGAGGGAGGACAAACTATCACAGAACAACAGGTGTAGCCCACAGAAAGAAAACAGGCCGGGTGGCAGAGCAAGGAACCCTGGGAGTTGAGGGTGATCTTTACAAGAAATCTGTACATTTATCAAATAAGTTAAAATTCTCCTAAATTGATTGTCCTTCACTTAAAGCGCTCCAGTATGTCTATCTTCCTCCTCTAAGCATTGCTATCTAACCTTGTTTGCTCCCTTCCCCCATTTCCCCTTCTGAATTTTCCCTTTCTAAACGAATGGCCCGAATTACACAGTGAAAACGTGTGTTCCTCTGCGTGGAGGAAGAAGCAGGGCTCTCGAGAAATTTGGTACAATATTGCACAGGTCAGAAGTACAACAACCATTACTGCAGAACAAAAAGGTAGGGGGAGAGGATAAAAGATACAGGTTTTCGTTGTTTAATATTGAAATCACTCTCTCAAAAGAGGGAACAAAGTAGTAACAGTAATATTAATAATAATTTACCAACAAATGGAATTCCCCAAATAAATGCTACTAATAAATAAGACCATTCACACCGGGCCAGATGTGGTGCTGTTTAAAAAATCAGCAGTCTGAGTTTTGGCTGTCTTGTCTTTTGCCTTTAAGCACTTAAGAGAATTCTTCCATCACAAATTGGGACTGATGAAGAGGTCAGTTGCCACAGACCTCTGCCAGATTGAAAAGCGGCCTGAGCTGGGCTCTTAGAGACTGCTCAGATTTTGAATATTGGGGAGGATAACTGATTGGGGGTGGAGAGGACAAACCACACCCAGAAGTCCAGAAGTAGAGTACTACAATATGAATTCTCTGTCTCTCTCTGGACTTTTGAAAATAGTTCCATGGAAAATGAATAAACTAGAGGGTTCTGGTTTTTGCGCCTATTTTCCCTCAATAAAAATAAAACCAAAAAGCCACAGCTCAATGCATAGGGAGGAAAGGGTTGCACATTTCACAAAAGCTGTCAGTCGAAATATTTGACCCGGGAATTTTGTCTTTTTCCTGCTCTCCCTTAATATAAACTAAAACCAAAAGTAAGGGGGAAGCGCCTCAAATCCATTAGGGATGAATTGCACGAAAATGCATTGCAAATACTTACAAAACTTTACCGATTGGGGGAGGGGAGGCCGGAGCTGCGCGCCCGAGCCCCGGTTCCCAAAGGCCGCTGGACAACTGGTGCCCTCGGCCCGGCCCAGTCTCCTCCGGGGTCTGGGAAGGGGGCCGGGCACTCCCTCCCTCTCCCCTCTCGGGCCTCAGACGGGCCGAAGCAGCGGCACGGACGAGACCACCGGGTGCGAGTAGTAGACCGGGTGCGGGAAGGTGAGCAGCGGCTGGCTGACGGGCACCGGCGCTCCCGCGGCGGCGGCCGCCGCGCCCTCGGCCGCTGAGTTCTCGTGGTAGAGGATGGGCACCCGCACGATGCGCTGCGCTGCGGCGTGGCTCAGGTTGGCCGCCTCCAGCTCGGCCGCCAGCTGCCGCTTCCACTTGTTGCGGCGGTTCTGGAACCAGATCTTGACCTGCGTCTCCGTGAGATGCAGCGAGGCGGCCAGGCCGGCGCGCTCCGAGCTGCTCAGGTAGCGCTTCATGTCGAAGGTGGACTCGAGCTGAAAGACCTGGCTGCGGGAGAAGACCGTGCGCGTCTTCTTTTTGCGGCACGCGGGCTTCTTCTCGGGGCTCTCGGCGCCCTTCTTCCAGTCCTCCGCGCCCGGCGTCACCGCCGCCGCCGCCCCTGCGTTCGCCCCGGCCGCGCCTGGCGCCGCCTCGGCCTCCTTCTTGCCTTCCTCCGAGTCGCTCTCCTCCAGGATGATCTCGTCCGGACTCTTGGAATCCAGTTCCTTGTGGTCGGG